GATGCTTAAGTGAGACCTTACAAGACCAGCAGCACCGCAGCGCTGAGTATAGGGTAGTCCAAACAGATGACTAAAAGTACAAAGGTTGAAGCACTTGCGCAAGTATAACACGATTGTGAAAGGAAAATGGCGATATCACGAGAGAGCAGGTTAGCCGTGCAATACGGGGACAATTGGTTATAAGTACCGGAGTAACTACCAGTCGTTCCTATACTCGAATGTGATCCGGACGCAGGTAAATAGTAGATCACCTTAGACTCGACCGACATAAGTGATATTATTCGGAAGTTGGTGCAATCGCTTCGGGAGCCTTTCTTGTAAATCGTGGCAATCACAAATTCACTCTAAGGGTTGGGAATCTTCTCATTGGCCCACAAATCCGTGGAAGGCGAGAGCAGTTCGCTAACAACTATATTCTTTGAAAAGGCAGAAGTAAAGGAGTCAGGCCATAGGGTTTTGTATCGCGTCAGTCAGCACCATGCGCTTGATGTCGATGGAGTACAGTTCATCGGTGCTTGCCGCTTCCACAATTGCCGCTTCTTCTCTGCATGCATGAGGGCTTTCTCCCGCACTTCAGCAACTGCCTTCGTGATTAGATCGCGCCATGCACCACGATCAACCGCCTTCGATTCCCATGATCTGCAATCAAGGTTAGAACGTGTGAGGCTCACTTTAATCATGTCCTGGTAATGTAACTTTGGTTTTCCCACGTGTCGCTTCCCAATACTCAGCTGACCGTATAAGAGTTGTTTTGGTATCCGCGTCGAATCCATACGGCTCACATGACCGAGCAATCTCGGGTGTCTCAGTAAAAGTATGCAGTCCACTGCATACATCCCACTTCGGCGCAAAACTTCCGTGTCTGCAACTCTATCGCCCCAGCCGATCCGCAAAATTCGTCGCAGACACTGCTGATGGAACCGCTCGAGATATCGCACATCTAGCCGGTACCTCGTCCATGTTTCACTGCCGTGTGGAACAACAGACAGCACCATGGATTTGTAAACCACCAGCTTCGTGCCAATGCTAAGCTGATGATTGTTCCACACTCGGTACTCTAGCTTCCCGAATGCTGCCGCTGTCTTCGAGACGCGAATACGCAGCTCAACGTGTAGCTGCTGATCAGTCGACATCACACTCCCAAGGTAGCTGAAACGGGAGGTGGTTTCCAATACTTCAGCACCAATGCTGATTCGCGGCAATATTGAAGATTGCACCTCCGGTGAAGACTGAAAGAGACAGACAGTTTGGCTTGTGTTGATCGTGAGCCCGAATTTGGCCGCTGTCGAAGCCAGAGCACTAGTCATATGCTGCAACTCATCCGCGCTGTGTATAAACAACGCACAGTCATCAGCAAACAGCAACATACGGATAATTGTCTCACAGACTAGAGTTCTCGCACCGAAACGACGGAGGTTCAGCAACCCACCATCAATAAGGTGCTCCACACGAACACCGTAAGCACAAGCGGCATCAAAAGCACAAGACAACATTGCATGAAGGTATATATTAAACGGCAGGACCTAAGACACAGCCTTGCTTCACACCAGAGACAACTGTAAAGTCATCCGAGGTCTCTCCACTCAGCTGCACCCGCACTCGCATACCACTGTGCAGGCATCCAATTAAACTTACAAACTTACGCCGACAACCAAACTTGCATAAAAAGAGCCACAATGCCTCGCGGTTCACCGTATCAAATGCCTTGGTGAAATCAACAAAAAGCGAGTACAAGGGCTGGTGTCGTTCTATGCACTTCTCTTGCAACTGACGAGCCGCAAACATCATATCTATAGTGCTGCGACCCGAACGGAATCCACACTGCTCCTCCGCCACGTTAGGTTCCACAACCTGACTGACGAGGCGGTTGAGCAGGATTCGGGCAATCACCTTGCCCAGCAAGTTGATGCCAGAAAAATTCGTGCAACATTGCTTGCTGGCATTGCCCTTGTACTGTGGTAGTACAAGGGCATCCTTCAGCACGGTCAGCAGCTCTTCTTCATAACACAAGCGTTGCATCAAGTGGTGCAGTGTATTTAAAATGCGATTCCGTCATGTTTCAATACTTCAGGCGGGATCCTGTCGGAACCGGCACAGCTGAGCAAGTGCTCTCTGCATCTCATCCAGTGTCGGTGTGTCGCCAAAACACGTCTTCATCTCTTGTTGTTGCAGCCCATGCAACACAGTCCAGTCAACCTCTGAACGGTTGTTCAAGAGGCAAGTGTTTTCGCCAGATCTGCATCGTGTATGCAGTCTGTGTACAGACAGACCTGAAGTAGCATCGAGCAACGTCATCAGCGGCGGTCCATACACCACCGTCTTCGAGGAGACAAAGAAATCCACACACATATTTATATTTAAACATATAGCGCCTTCAAGAAGTCAAAACATTCCGTGTGTTGGCGGCGTTCGGAGTGGCATTCCATTTGCTTCACCTTCTCCATCCACGAGGAATTGTTAACGCGAAGGAACTCTCCAGTCAGTCGCCGTTGAATTTTGCGAAACTGACTTTTCTTCAAGTCACTAAGGTCCGCCACATGTGCATCAAATGCTGCATTCTGCTCAAGCAGCAACCGTCGCATTGTTCTCATCAAACCAATCTGGCCGCTTACAATTTGCGCGCCCGATTGTCTCCTCGGAAGCAGCTGTCACATGATCGCGAATGTGGTGCCACAGGTCGCCCACTGTGGCCATGCATTCCACGTCGCACAGACGTGCAGCCATCGCGTTCACCAGCAGGATACGTTTCTGTACCGTGTCGAAGGAGAGAATGTTACTTTTACGCTTCCGATTCACGGCAGACACACAGTACGTACTTTTCCGCAAGCGGATGTACAAATTAAGCAGCACCAATTTGTGGTCAGTGCCACACTCAGCTCCGCGCAGTACACGTGTCATGCGCACTTCATGCATATCACGCTGCCATGCGATGACAGTCGAGCAGGTGAGGGTGATCAAGCCGTGGGTGCATCCAAGTTGCTATATCACTCGTACCCAGTGCAAACCGCGTGTTCGTGATCGCCAGGCCGTGAGTGGCACACAGTGACAGCAGTCTGTCACCGTTCGTAGTCGGTTGACCGATGCCATCCGTCCACACCGATGCATCACGCCCAACGCGCGCGTTGAAATCCCCCAGCAGAAATAGTCGGTTGCTCCTCGGCACAGACAGTATCACAGAGGATAACTGAGTGTAGAACTGGTCATGCGTGTCATCAGGATAACACATGGTCGGACCGTACATGCTTATAAAAGTGGCAAACGTACCTCTTCCGAGTCGTAGACAAACAGTCGTCAGTCGCGCGCTGATGCTTGTTGGTTCACCCACTAGCTGGCCATTAAGGCTATCGGACAGGGCAAATTCGACCCCATGTACACGCGGTGCTGAGGTGGCGTTTCCAACCCAGTAGGACGTATAGCCGGAACCAGCTTCATGCAATTAACTTGCTCAGTGAGTCGCGTCTCGCTCAGCGCCGCAGTATCGACGTTGTAGATCGCCAGTTACATCGCGACAAATTCAGTGTGTCGCTCGGGACACTCACTCGAGATCCGGTCTAGTAGTGTGCGCACATTCCAGCACCCGATGTTGAATGCTTAGCGCGCATGCATACGATTGCATTGGTGGGCAATCGCACGCAAGGTGGCGGTTGTGCTTCGTAAGTTTGCTTGAGGGACACCACTCAGAGCCTTTGGCTCAATAACCTGACCATCAAGGCAGTAGGGAACAAATCCAGCTCGGCGCTGTGATTGCCGAGAGCCACTGGGATCTGTTTGAGGTCCGTAACACGCAGCTTTGAAGATTTAGTAATATTCATATGGGTTTTGCGACCAAAGTACTATAGGCACCTGCGACCACGGCCAGACGAAGGAGGGTTTTGGCAGGTTCGCACCGATTTGAGGCGGTCGGTAGCAAACTATTAAGCACCCCGAAATGACCTCCCACCGTCAAAGACAAAGCGTGGCGCTCGTACTCTAAGCCAATCGAGGTGCGAGTTTATAACCCATGGACCTGTTATTTTTCACTTCTTGACCGAAGAAGATGGGGTTTGGACTACGATACTGGCAGGGCGCACCCACCTGACAAGAGAAAGACATGGGGCCTCAGCCAAAGCCTACGATAAAATGTACATCCCAAAGACAGCGGGTCTAGCACATGGTCAGTTCACTGACTCACGCGGGTTGGTGTGTCCCGGCTCGTGGCTGGAAGAAGGGCGTAAGTTAATTGCCACCCAGGGGGTGGCGTGTAGGACTAGAGCCCACGGCATAAGGTTAGCTGCAGTGGGTGGACGATCTGTCAGGAGCTAGCCACCACAAGCCTCAGCGTACCATGGGCTCTCCCGCCTATAAATAAATAAATAAATAAAAAGATATATATATATATATGTATATATATATTCACAGTCTGTTTACAGGCGATGTGTTACCATAACCTTGGCAGAAAAAATAAAAGGAAGCGAATTTCTCGAAGCGAGGCTCAGTACAGGGAATTCCAAAAACCTACTCATTGACCTAGATCCGGTGTATCAACAGTTGCGAAAGATACAAATGGTGCGGGGTCCGAACAACGAAAGGGGAAGTAGTCACTGGACATGAATCGAACAGGTCAAATTCAAACATCACTAGCCGGTCAAATAGGAGGCGACGACCAATTAAGTGAGACTACCAATTATGCAGTAAAGCACTGACAAAGCCAGCTCAACTGGCGAGGAAAGGTCTACAATAAATTTGTCCAGCTCGGAAGACAAACGAAAACTAGAACAACCAATCCGGGCTACAGTGGTGAGGCGGCGCTCAGGAAGAAAGGCAATAGTTTGTTCACGGTAACATTTTACGGCGCCATTGCACTATGATAGTGATGGTAACGATCACCCTACGATGTGGTGTACAGGCTGGAGATAGATGGGTTTAAAGTGATTCCGATTTGCAATCTAGCGCGTTTCCGAACTGAATACCAGAGTGCCGATAGAGTGTAGGGGATAAAAGGAACTTCATAAAAGGCTCACCTGCTTTTTTGGCAGCGAGGAACTCTGCAAACTTCGACTTAACGCGAGGCTTGTTCCTCTGAAGGAAAAGAGAAGAGAACAATCGCATCGTAAGGTGGAGCAGTGGAAAAACGAGAAGCAGCACGAACGCATTGCTGAGGAATGGAATGGCTACAAACCTTCCAGTGCAACCCTAGCTCATTTTCTGGGCTCGAAACGAGGGGCGTATTGGCTAGATCATAAGCTCGTGCGATCACTGGTCATCCGTGTTTGTGAGTGTTATTTTCCGACACCACACCTGACTGAACAAAGCTGTAGAGCAGTCAAATGACGATATTTGGAAAAAGTAGGAAGCAACTAGTAAGGAGGCTTAGTTGCGTTGGATGGACACCTTGTGATGGGACACACAGCAGCTAGAGGAGATATTCGACATGATGCAGTCGATGACAATTTTGTTTTCTACCACTGGTAACCCCATTCCATGACACTGTCTTCTTGTAACCCCTCACGTTGATCTAGTTTGTAAATTTTTACATTTTCTCTACTCGAAATAAGGTGGAAAAGTTGGGTTGCATAGGGAAACGAATCAGGAGGATAACTAAAAAAAAGTGTCCGATGTGGATGAATTTGAGGTGATTAGGCTACATGTGCCTCGAAATGTTGCTTCGCTGCCCGGTCGATAGAGGTGAATGAAACAGTCGAAAGGTTCAACCAGTGTCGGCCGTTAACAACACTATGTGTAGTGCGGCCGAAGTGGTATCTGCTGGTGACGTACAGTAAGTATCGAGTTGTCTAAGGTGAGTTAGACAAAACCATCAGCCGACCAATCGCAAGGGAACCCAACTGACCAAAGGTTGAAAACCAGTTTTTGATGTATAATCCCCGAAGTTGGATATAAAGAGAAGAACAACAGCGTTATAAGGAGAGAAGATGGATAACCACCTGGTGGCAGGCGGGCAAATGTGCTTGGGGTGTGAGCAACTACGCTCACAGATCCGATGAAACCATACTTTCGGGGGCAGCATTCGTGATGAAGATATCGGGAAGCACTCGGGCCCATAGAATTTCAGCAGTCAACACATAGGGTACTATAACCACGGCCGGAAGTGTGAGAAAAAGTATGATAGCAGTTGACGGGCTACGCGAGCGAAACCGAAGTACGACCAGTGGACCAAAAAGCCAATCAGCACCACGAGCGCAACATGGCCTAGCTTAAACGGGTCAGGTGAGCAAAGAAGAGTTGGGTTGCAGCGTTGTGAGTTAAGCACGGCTTTGGTCCTGTACAATGGCAAGCGAGCTGCCAGCGTGCGGCGTTGTCGCCGACGGCGCAATGTGCAATGGTGGCTGATGGATCGAGCGAGCGAAACAGAGGGAGCCAGTGGGTAGAAAGTCAATCAACGCCGTTGGCGCAAGCCGACCAAATTTTGACGGACCGAATAAACAGTCCAGAATTGATTCAGGGTATTGTGAACCAACCGCAAGTTTGTTCCAGCCAGGATAGGGGTGGTCCGAACAGCAGCAAACGATCGGTGTGCGAGAGCCAATGAACTCATGCAGACGGCTAGCAAGAATCAGCCGGTAAAAGTGCGTTACAGTAAACCAGTGACTCAAATTCGCGCACAGTATAACATGACTCTTTGTTCCATAATAACAGATTTTTAGATCACCACCCAATCTTCGTTCTGATTCTCGGAGGGCTATCTCGACAACCAGTGGGGGAAGGAACACAGCCAAAGTGACCAATACCTAGAGAGTAATGCATGTAGTTGAGTTATGTGGATTATATTTAGTCTTCAGGAAGCATTGGACAACAGTACTTCTCTAGATAGGTGTGTCCTTGATAAGAGGGACAACTCGACCTCAGAAGTGCTGTTACGAGCATCGGTACTCATTTGCTGAAAAAGCATGAGGGTCAGCATACAGGCGAATGCTTAGGGCCCAGCACCCAAGCAAGTAGCCCTTTTGTAGGAAGCTTGGTTGCTCCCATGGTAGACTAGACGATGGTAGCGATTTTAAGATAAATGATGCAGACAGTGAACGGATGATTGCCATCGAGGTAAGGGTTAAAGGGATTGGCAGTGGACTGACACGACTACATACGTTTCATCAGCAAGGTGGCCCATCGAGGAACTCTTAAAATTCGTCTCCAGATACAGTAAAACAGGGGCTAGCAAAGGAGTAAATGGAGATGGCAACCTGACATAGTGGCCCTTGCGTGAGGAAAAAGCAGCACATTTAAATTGCATAGAACACAGGGGTTCCTCTTTTGGAGAGTTATACTAGCCGGATGGTGAAATGAACATGTGTTAATACAATTTATGCAATGTGCTGAATAAAACACAGTCGAGATACCAGAATGTCGTCTCCATTTTCAAAGTAGTATCGGCTTAGAAGCCGAAATGCATGTTAACGGAGTGCAAAAGACGAGAACGGCTGTGATTAGGAACGAAATTTTTCTGAAGGATAGAATACCAATCGTATATATATATATATATATATATATATATATATATATATATATATATATAAAAGGCACAATATCTGTACCACAGATATTGTGCCATCGGAATCATGGCTGAATAGGAAAACAATATGAATAATAAGAAAAGAGCAACAAGAAATGCTTTTTTTGTCAAGTTAACCACTCAGTTTTTGAAAAAAAATTTCAGTTTGTTCTTTTTTAGGGGGAGGAAGAAGGGACACCGCAACACACTGATGCACACGTCCGCCAATGACATCGATCTTGAGCCATAACTTCCAAGGTCTTCAACCAGCAAGTATCCGCATCTCTCGGACCCCAACCACGTAGTCGACAACAACCAACCGAGGCCAATTGTTTCGTCAACTTTTTCATGCGGCTTCTCCATGTTGTAGGCTGTCCACCAGACCGTCTCTTCCAGCTCTGTCCAGCAAGTGCAAACAACGCACGACGGGGGTAACGCTGGACAGGCATGCACAATACGTGTCCCAACCACCGCAGTTGATGCAGTGAGATGAGCTCCTCGAGCGAGTGGCTTCCACGTCCCAAGACACGCTGTCTAACTTCCACATTGCTTACGTGGTGCTGCCACCACACACGGGCAATAGACCGCAGACAGCGGTGCTCGAAGACGGATAGCCTGCGCAAGTCATCTTTACGAATGGGCCAGGTCTCGCATCCGTGCAATAGTACAGCACGAACAATTGCACAATAGACCTGCCCTTTGATGGAGAGACGAATGTCGTGGCGACGCCAGAAATGCCTCAGCCTAGAAAAAGCGAGGCGTGCTCTCGAGATGCGCATCGAAATCTCGTCTCCAACAGCCCCGCCAGCAGTGATGCAATCGTAAATAACAATGACATAGACCAGAGTTAAAACACGAACTACAAAGCATGGGCTTACGGGAGCTGATTTGGCAACGGTCCTCGCGATCGTATCAGAAGTCTCCTGAGGTATTCGTTCGGCAGCCAACTTGCGACCAGGTGGAACCTTTTTTGTCGACAAATCCGAAACCTTCGGAATACCCACGCGTTTCGGAGTCGGGCCTACTCTTTTGGATCGTACTGCTTGAGTTACCACAGACCGAGGAGGTGTGACAGGACAATGTGCTGGACTCCAATGCCATTCGTCACGCCACTTGCACAAGCGATCGAACGATGCATCTGATTCGGCGATTTCTGTAGCAACCAGAGTCCAGTATCCTGCCAGGTCATTCGGATTGATCTTAAGAGTGCCGCCTGCACCTGTCGTACGTAAATCAGATTCTGCTTTGTCTACCAATGTCAAGAAGAAGGACAACTTGTGTTGCAAGACAAGTTGGCATTTTCCTACGGTTGCCCGTATTGAGTCCAACACTGCCGGGTAGGAGAAGAAGGGTAGATTAGAATCCCAAAACGAATCATGACATTTGCCATTTGCCGGTCAATAGGAAAAAAGTACAGTGAGCTTAAAGGGTAGACATTAGATATGTCACAAAAACACTGACTAGTCGATGAGCGATGTAGTTAGGACAGATGAGCGCATCGCCATCTCAATCAACTGTGGTGAAGAAATGAGGTGTACTGGTTTCTAGCTAGTACAAAGCGACACGCAATGTGAGATGATCCGAATAAGCAACACGAAGAAAAAATAATCGAAACTGAAGCGTCTGCAACAAGTAGCTGGTTGTTGTGACCGAGCGGCATCGGGTGGGAAAATCCATTGCGGATTCCATTGCCTCGATTCATGAATAAGATTGCCCTACAGCTAACTAAAAAAAACAGACACACTTTAAACGTGTAATCCGGATGAAAAACGCACAATTGCTGCCGCTTTTGTGTCAATTCCTGTAATGTTTCGAGCCAAAAGGAGTGGGATATATAAAATCATAAATGAGAGGTAAGATCTATCAATAACGCCAAGCTCAAGCATCAGATAGTAATAACTCTGTGGTAGGGGAAAGCGCCCCGTTGTGGTGCTGTACATACGGCCCGTAAGATCAAGAGCATTCTCCTTCCGTAGCACATAACTGAGTAAAAATCTAGTTTCGGAAAACATGTTGACTTGCTTAGGTCATATATCCACCAGAGAAGTGAGATAGTCAACTAGTTCAGCATTCTAATTAGCAAAAACGAAAGAGCGTGCATGAGATTGGTGGTGCATCAACCGCATATGTTTAACTGTACTATCCCACGATTGCCAGATGGAAGGAGGATGTAAACCAGACCAACCAGCCTCAATAACAGCATCATGTGGCTCCACAGTCGCACATTTCACGACGTAGTCTACAACAAAACAGGGCGGATATGAAGATATGGAAGAATTCCGTTAAACGACACGTTGTCTGGAAGGCGTCCGGCAGCTGGCCACAGATCTAAACGTGACTTGAGGTGTCAGGATACAGCAAACGTACAACGTTCATAAATTGCATGGGTGTTGTATTGGCCCTCAGTGAATTCAAAACAAGATCTATGCATCGATCAGAATTTTACTGTTGGAAAAACAAAAGCACGTTTTATATCTCGGATTAACTAGAATCACTTACAAATTGGCACAATTTATCCGGTTGTTCCGCTCAAGGAAGCTTCTTGAATTCCGTTCCCACCATTAGAAATCAATTACAATGATCAACCGATAAGTGTTTTACTGGTGCTGATTTCAAATATAAAAGCAGTTTTCATAAAGTGGCTCTAGTTTTTGAGATACGATGATTTTTAAATAATTGTGTTACTTAAATAACTATTTAAAGTTATCCATGTTTTCATTCCACTCATGTGTTCCTCTCGATGTAGCTGTTTGAACAATATTCATGTATTCTGCTACGTTTGCGGCAAAGGTGACTCGAATACCCAAGTGGGTCACCTATTGGACTTTAAACAACAACTGGAAGTCCGCTTCGGGCTCGATGCAGGCCGAACACACAGTGGTGATCGATTCCTTTAACTGTAGGCTGACCACAGGCTGGCTTGCCGAACAACCTACTAGTGGTACTAGATGGGTGGTTCGGGTGTTTCGCGTTCCAGCAAATGGTTCGGTGGCAGTGTTCCAGGACGTGGAGTTTTCGGCTCGCAAGCGTTCTCCCCATAAAAGCCACAAATGTCTGTTTAACAACACCGCGACGTGACGGATGTGAATCGCCACTAAATAAATTCACTGTCCCTTGCCCCTCCCTGAGGGGCATTGTACTTCAAGGGTGCCTTGGGCCCCTGGTCCTTCAAGGACCGAAAAACGTATGAGCCATCTAACTGATCACCGACTCCCAACGGTTTGCGACGCCCTCACATTGCCATGCTACTTTGTAGGTTAGACCTTTGACCAAAGGCTCGGGGTAGGGCCCCCTAAGACAACTCACTACTTCGGCCTGGGCAACCGGGTAGTATCACGCCCACTGATGAATCATGGACCACACCACCATCCATCAATACATGCAGTACACCTGGTTGTCCACCCTGGCTCGTCCCACTGAATCAACCCAGCGAAGCAGAAGTCTACCTCGAGATTCGACGCTTGAAGCGCTTCAAGGTTGCCGGCTTAGACGGACTTCCACCGCAACTAATCAAGTACGGCGGTGTGGCGATCATTAACCATCTAACCGCGCTGTTCGCAAAAATTTGGCATGAAGAGAAAGTGCCTTCCTCTTGGGGCGAATCAGTTATTGTCCCGATTTTCAAGAAACGCGCTCGCACTTCATGTGCAAATCATCACGGCATTAGTCTTATTTCGGTTGCCTCTAAGCTATTGGCATCCATTCTGCTTCGCAGACTATCCCCAGTACGTGAATCATCCTAAAGAGAAGAACAAACTGGTTTCGGTCTCGGTCGCGGATCAATTCTTCACATTCCTCGAACATCACCACATTTATCACAGGCCCAGTATCGTAGCATTCCGAAACATACATGCAGTTTTTGACATTGTTGATCGACCTGCTTTATGGCGTTGCTTGCTAAAGAACGGGGTGCCAGAGAAATATAACGCCAACTTACGAGCACTACCTTCATACATCCGTCAGAATGATGGTCTATGGCAAACTTTCCTCGAAATTCGCTGTCAATAGCGGTATGCGACACGGCTGCCCTATGTCCCCATTCCTCTTCAACTTCGCAATCGAAAACGTTCTGTCGAATGCTCTAGAACGTTTCCAACATTTTGGCGCAGAGCTTCTACCGGGTGAACGCGCGACCGACTTAGATTATGCTGATGATATCGCCTTACTTGGTGACGATCCTCAGGGCATGCAACTCATTCTGGATCGTTTGGTGGTTGAAGCATCTAAGTATGGCATGAGCTTCGCCCCATCGAAGTGTAAAGTAGTGCTCAAGGATTGGCTCTCACCTGTTCCCGTGCTCACTCTCGAAGGTGTACAGGTAGATAGTTCCGTAGGTAGAACAGGTAGATAGTTCCGTCTAAATTGGGAGCTGTGTTTCCGCTGACGGCACTATCAACAAAGAAGTTTCTCTTCGTATCGCTAAAGCTCGATCAGCATTTGTCAATCTGATGCACTTTGCGGCGTTGTCGCGCCGTCTCATTCTCACTAAAGGGCCACGTTTACAGCGCATCAGTTCGCTCAGTATTGTTGTATGGGAGCGAGTCCTGGCCGATTCGCGTGGAAGACATGCGTCATCTTTCTGCGTTCGATAACGGCTGCTTAAGAAGGATCGCTCGTGTTTGGTGGCAACATCGAGTCAATGGTAATGATGTTCGACGTCGCGTCTTGGGGAATGCAAGTATTTCCTTCAACAAACTGGTTTTGTTGCGCCAGTTAAGATGGCTCGGTCATGTCCTACGCATGGCACCTGAGCGTCTACCGCATTGCGCTCTATTCGCTCGTCAAGGACCTGGCTGGAAGCGACCGCGTGGTGGTCAGCCTTCCACTTGGCGGCAGCACATAAAATCGCTGACGTCGTGTCTAGCCGCTGTTGGATCCGTACGTCTTCCAGGATGGGGACCCAAAGATGAGGAGTGCCAATGGCTTAGGACTCTTGAAGACATGGCCCGCAACCGGAATCAGTGGAAGAAATGTGTACAGTGTTGTACTGATTCGCATGTTTAATATTACAAACATTGAACATGACAAAAAAAGAGAAAAATCGGCGTGTGGAAAACAAACCAAACATGTTTTGTTCTACTTTTTGCCAAAATGTTCCATTCTTCCTGCAGCATATTAGCTGAAGTGTGTTGCTCACCTTCAGCTAGCATGCCACGATGATTATGACGCAATGACTGTCTCCTATCCACTGACCTCCATGGCTTTGTTGGCTCTATGTTTAGTTACTAGACTGTTGAGATTACATACATACATACTGCTTACTACCGCTCTTGCTATGCCTATCTTCTATGCTAACTCAACTGCTCAACCTCCACTCACAGATCACCCCACCTCCCGTCCTTCAGACATATTTGCTCTTATGCCTTCTTCGATCACCATCACAAACGATTCACTTCTCGCAACTGATGGAAGTAGCAACCAAACTCCCGGTTTTCATTGTCCTGCGATCGCAACCGCCTCTCATACCACCGAAGCTCTAACTCTTCTTCGAACTGGTTCTCCATTCATTCTCGCAGCGTTTAATGGTCTAACTTTGATGCAGATCGGACAACAAGCATGTCTGACCAGTACACTTGAAATGCTTTCGGTAGACATCTGTTGCCTTTCAGAGACCAGATTACAAGACACTAGCGCCGTCATCAGAATGGTCTCTCCGGTAAACTCTGACGCCAAATACCACATGCGGAGACCTAGAAGCTGCAGCCTCTGACCAAGGTGGTGTTGGGGTTGGACTGAGTGCCAGGGCTGAATCAGCTCTGCTTGACTGGATCCCAGTCAACAGTCGGCTATGTGCAGTCAGACTACGAGGTTCATATAACGTAAGCAGGCGTCGAGACATAACCGTGCCTTGTTTGTCGTCTGCGCCTACGCCCCTACAGACTGTAGCCCGGATGCAGTCAAGGATAGCTTTTACCAGCAGCTACATGGATTACTGCGTTCGTTCAAAATATATGATATAGTCATCCTTGCCGGGGACTTTAACGCACGAGTTGGCCGCCTTCCACCAAGCGAGCACCACCTTGAGGGTAGTTTTGGTCTCGGTGGCAGTCGATCAGACAATGAAGACAGACTGCTTGCTCTTTGTTCTGAGCATCGCTTGTTTCTTTCGAGTACTAGCTTTGGGCACACAAGGAGACACACTGCTACCTAACGCCTGCGCTCACAAACGCAAGAGTGCTCCCAGCTTGACCACATAGCAATCGGCTACAAATGGCGCGGAAGCGTAACGAACTGCCGATCATACTGGTCAACTTATCCAGACACCGATCACGCACTTGTTCCTGCTAAGATTTGCATGCGTTCCGGAGGATCATCCAAGGGCGCTCACTA